ATTCTAAGTTTTTGTGCGAGTTCAAACGAACTTGTAGGTATAAAACTAAGTAAAATAAGTTCCATAAGTTCTGGGGCGCTGTTTTTGGGATTCAGCGGGCGCGATATCACTCGCGAAAACCAAGTCCAACTCGTGAACATAGAGCTCCTTTTGATATCAATGGCCCAACAGGAAACCCTCCCCCTGTCGGTGGGGTTAAAGGTTTTCTCCCTCTTCCTCCTCCAGCGGGTCGTCCGCTTCACTCCGACGTTCTGGCTCAGATGTGCCGCCCCCTTGTTTATACTTAGTGGCTCGCCTTTGGCTTTGTCAGCGCCCCTGGTATGGTTTCACAAATTTGGGATGTGTGGAACATGGCCGAAGAAGGGCCGATCGAGCCCCTTCCCATTGAGTGGCAGCGGGCGTGCGCTTACCAACCCGTTGGATCGAGCTCCGACATGCCCACGCCCATCTCGCTCAGCAGCGACCCTCGATACGTTCACGTCTCCTGGGGTCCGTCAAGTTCGAGCAGCTCGGGGTCTGCAGCAGCCCATGGGCCGCAATATGACATCGATGGTTGGGCCCCCGACCAAGTCGCAGCTGGAGATCTCCACAGTTGGGCCCCCGATATTTTCGCAGCTGGACATGCACAGGAAGGCCCCCTGGCTCCTGAAGATGGTCGTGGCCCCGATGGCCCCCTGGCTCCTGAAGATGGTCGTGGCCCCGATGCACCCGTGAGTGAGGCGCAGCGGCCGAAAATGAACAGGAAGGGCAGCGGAGTGAAGCGTTGTAGGCCAGGCCATCCTGACGGACCTCGCTGGGGCACCCGTGGAGGCACAAAAAACGAGAATGTTCGGTGGCATACCGCCAAAGCGCGTGCTGAGAAGCAGGGCCGTCTTAGCGAGTTTCTGTTGAACAATCCGAAGCCCAAGAATTCTAAGGGGCTCCAATCATAGACATCTGGCTGGCATCGTGATTCGGTTCCCGCTGCACGCAGGCAAAAACACACACACCATCATGATCATCATCACCCGCGCCCGCTCCACTCACCCAGGCTCGCCCGCCCACCACGTGCGTTTTGTGCCACCCATGTGCCCATATGACTGTGCCGATGGCGCGTCCTGCGTGGGCCGCGCGAGGGCTCCAAGAAGGCTCTAGTTTGTTGCGGGTGCTCTGGGGGGGGGGGCATCCCTGGGTTCGCCCTGGCGCAACCTGGGGGACTCCTGACAGCGTTGCACCCCCTAAAAAAAAAAACTGCGCGAAACCGCTAGGGGGACAGACGTGCAACCATGAGGGAGGGCACACGCGAAACCATATAGGGGGGACACACGTGAAACCACTACGGGGCGTCTACGTATCCCTCTCTCAAGCTCTCTTTCCCTATCCCTCTCTCTCTATATATATCGCAATATACATATATATTTATATATATATATATATGTATATATATATATATATATATATCTCCCGATATTTGGGCGGGGACGGGGCGGAGACTGATGAGACCTCGAGGGGGCGTAGGGTTCGGGGCCTCCTGGGGCTTCTTGGGGACCTTCGGGGGCTCCTTGGGGGCTTTTTCGCATTTTCGCCACTCCCAGCGATAGTTTTGAAAAAAGTGAATTGACGCAAGCGCCTTTTTTTTCAAAACCCTCGCTGGGAGTGGCGTTTTCTGCACTTCGCGCCGTTTCGGCCTTTCGACTGGGACAGCCTCATCCCCATCCTAACTCGTCGTGCTCGTTGTGAGTGATTCTCCTCCTCCCCCGTCCTCGGCCCTCCCCCGTCATCGCCCCCATGCACTCCCCTTCTATCCCCCACGTCTTCCGCCTCTTCGTCAGCATCGTCCTCATCGTCCGACCCACGTCTCATCCTCCACCTCCCATCCTTGCGCATCCTCCGTTGCGTCATCCAGTGCGCCTTCCGGCCTCCCCTCCAGCGGCACGCCCGCTACAGGCTCGAGACATGGCGTCCCCAGGGACATCGACCCGCATTCGGGCTAGGCTGGGGGCAATACGCATCTTGTTGCGCGATCTCGTAGGAACACCCCAACACAAGCCTGTGTCTCAGACGCAGGCTACTGCGGTCATGGCCTTGATCATGAAAGACGGGCCGCAGCTATCCTCGGAGGAGAAGGCCCACCTGACGGCCAGGGTTGGGCAGGTGTATTTCTTTGAAGGTCATGACGTGCCAATCATGGAAGCGCTGGCTGGCCTCGACGACGTTGCAAACGGGCGCAGCAGCAAACGCAAAATGGGCCAAGACTACCGCCCTTTCCTTGCACACATTTCCAGGGCTGGCTGGAGCAGGCTTCTGGGAGATGAAGTGCCTGCACACGCGGCGCTCAACATTCTCGTTCAACGCATCATTCGCCTAGGCGGGGTCAACCCGTGCGAATACAGCATGAAATTGGTGACTTCGACGTGGATGTTCATTACAGATGAGAACGTGGACCAGCTGAATTACTGGGCCAAGAAGAAGAACCTGGAGCATGTGAAACGAGAATTTCGACGACAAGCGGATAAGGCGCCAGCGCCGCCCGTCTTCATTCAAGATCTTCCAGGATCTCCAGCCGAGTTGCTGACCAAGTTCCCGCAGATATACCACCTGGCTTTCACAGCTGAGGACGTGCCATCAGCGTGCCCGCTGGACTTGAGGAAGCTCCGAGAGCTCGACGACTCCTACACATGCCGCGGGGGGAAGACTCCTCAACGCGGCGCGGATAGCTCTGGAGCCATTTGCACCCGTGACAGCGACACCAGCAGCAGCATGGAGCGGCTCATGATGCAGCAGATGCAGCAGATGAACTTCCTGGCGCAGCTTGCAGCACGTGCGATCGGACATGGTGGTCACGGCCCAGAGCCACAGGATCTACTTAGGAGCGCGAATTTCGATGTCTTCGATGCGCCTCGTCGGCCATCCAGGCACCGAGCACTTGCAGCGGGCAGCGGCTTTCAAGAAGTGCATGGGGCAGCGGCAGGCGATTCAGCAGCCGAGGCGCCAGCGGCAGCAGCACGCCCTCCACCTGTCGAAGTACTGGCTTTGCTGCCGCCCCGCGCTGCAGAGCAAGCAGATGGCCAAGCAGGGCAGTCTCAACCGGCTGCCGCACCAGCAGGCGTGCAACAACTATGTGACGTGTCAGGCCCGCCACAGATTGCGCCTACAAGCGGGACTCCATCATTCCCTCCTGTTCCTGGTCATCAACTTCCCGCTCGTCCGAGGGCATCTCTTTGTGCGAACGTGCAGCACGCGATGGATGTGATGCAGCGGAAGCGGGATGACGCGAAGCAGAGGGCGGCGATGAAGAGACCTGCCGCTGCAACGCCTCCAATCGCCAGTGGAGGCGATGCCGACGAGGCCTACGTCGAGGACGGCGATGGGGCTCCAGCCAAGACCACCCCCCCCATGAAGAGGGCCAAGCCTGCAAACAATAGCCCCGAACAGCACAGTGCAAAAGGAGAACCACGAGTCGCCTTGAAAGCTGGCAAGGCGACGCAGACGCTCGCCAAAATATCAGTCGAAGATTTCGTCGGGTGGAGCTCGAGCGACAAAGGTCGCACCAAAAATGCTTTCGCCTCGGCGGCGTACGGCAAGGCTAAGACTCGG